TTTCTTAACTTATGAATTAAATAAATTAAAGATTAACGCATCAAGAGAAAACGAGCATGAGAAATCATTAGCTTAATACAATTCCCAGAATTTTGTAGAAAACAATATAGATGAGCAAAAATTAAAGTGGATTACTGGGTCCATTTATCTCTATTTCTAGTTGAATAATAATGGAATGGGTTAGGGCTCATCCATCTATCGTCGTGGGGCAGGTTCTATTGGAACCCAAATTTACTTGAGAGAGATAATTAAAAAATGAAGACTTTAGATTCGATCCCTAGTCACTATCACTCTTTAACTAAAATTTTAATAGTATTTAATTTTTTATCAAAGTCTCATCACTATGAAAACCTCATATATCAATATTAATATGTATATTTCTATATGTTTGACATTTATGAGATTTATAATATATATGTGGCGTATAAATCCTATATTTAAAGTCCCTCATTAAATTACAATGTAATAATATGAAACGGCTATAATAAAATGTTTTCAAATTTTTTATTGAACAAATGAATAAAAACAATGTAATAATATGAAATCATAAATAGCAAATGAATGTATCCATGGTTTTAAAAAATTGTAAATAAGCTATATAGTAATATACCCAAAAATTCATATGGATACATTATTTTGATTGAAATTTTATTATACCAAAATCTTAGACTTAAATTTTATTAATTTAAATAATTTGATTGAAAGACAAAATATTAAATTTTAGTATTAATTTCTCCCCATAATCTTACAAAAATTGATAATTCGTCTTAATTATCAGATTTTCTAGTTTATCACAAAATAAAATGTTTTATTTTATATTTTTAAATAAGGGTACATTTCAAATTGAGAAAGGGGTACATTTATAAAGAATAATGGGTACATTATGAATAAATTATGGGTACAAATAAAGAATTAAAAAAAAAAAAAAAAAAAAAAACTAGACTAATCATTTAAAGAAAAGGGCACAACAAGAAGTTAATATATGGGTACAAATTAAAACTAAAAAGAAATGTAGTACAAATTTAAAAAAGGGTTGCAAATTAAAATTGGGTATAAACTAAAAATAAAAATATGATACAAAGTATAACCATAAATATACATATATATATATATATATATATATATATATATATCAAATGCAACATTTCCAACACTAAATTAATATATTTTAGAAACTTAATTTAATTATGCTAATATGTAAATATTTTATTATTGAAATAATGACATTCATTAAAACCTAAGAACCTTCCTATAGTTTAAATTATGTTAAAATAAAATATCGCTGAAATAAAAAATTCTTTTTAAAATAAAGTCATAAAGAATTATTGTTTAAATAATACAAAAATCTGAGAATAAATGGGCAAATTAAGTTGACCTGTAATCAATCTCCAAAAAATTTAAATGTGATTACATCATACATGCATCGCATTTCAGATTGTTAAATACATGTGATATTAATTATTTACAAGATGTGCAAAATGAGTTAAGTCTCGCAAGAAGTTAGTCATAAAAATTTGGTATAAATTTGTGTTTAGTAAGAATCGAATATAAGACCTCTCACTTATAAGTGAAAAAAAAAATATTATCAGACTATTGCATCGAAGTTTTGATTCAAATATAGAGTTTAGTGCAAAAATAATTACGTTAACATCGAATGTTATACTCGAATAATTTTCAAATCATATAACGTGTTATACTTGAAATTGCCGATAAATGAAGATGTAATCATATCTAATGAGTAGTGTCTTGGATCTTTAAAATCATGTGAAATAAAAGACTGGTGAAATGACACTTAGTATTATGGTCTAGTGTATTCCTCTTCATTTGTAAGGGAGAAGTCTTATGCTCGATTCTTGTTAAATGTAAATTTGAATCACATTATTGCTAGCCATTATAAGACTTAGCCCACTTCTCCCCCCCCCCCTTTTTAGACCTACTGTAACATTTGGAGTAAAACTCAAATTTTAGGTTTTAAACCTACTCCAACTTGCTCTAATCCTTGGGCCAAATATGAGTTTTAACCAAAAATGAGTTTTTGGGGCAAATTTAACACCCCCCTCCCCAACTAGGTTAGTGCACTGACTCACTATATATGTGTATTTTTTTTCATTGTATATTATAAAATCATTGAATCCAACAGTTAGACCTAATATGATCAAATTCAACTAGATCGGGTAAAATATTAAAAAAATTCTTTCATGTGTTTCGTATTTTTTAGTGCTGGTTTAGTGATTTTTCTATATTTATCATAATCTAAATATTTTTTGTTAAAATCTTCATAAAATTAGATTATGATAGCCTACATAATTTTTTAGTTTAAAAAAAAAGTTGCTTAAAGAAAAAAATTATTATAAATTCGTTCTTTAATAATTTTGGCCTAATGATTTAACCTAAAAGGATTGAAGTAGAAAAACTATTTCTAGATTAAAATTTTCTAAGTTTGTGTAAATGACATCCGTTGTTCAAAAAATTGGTGAATAAAAACTATGAGGAAAAATATAAAACATAAATAAATTTAAAAAGAATAAAATGGGTGGGTAAGGTGAGGTAAAAGGAAGAGTACTGTTAATGACTCAATGTGAGAAGGAGCGCTCCTCCTCCAGAGCCTGACCGCCTGAGTCACTGCTTTCTTTCGGTGTCATCCCAGAACCACCGTACACTACGTGTCAACCCTACAATGGCCCGTCCCATCCAACTACCTTCTGTTGCCCAAAAATATATATTATAATGTTAGAAATACTAATTTTTTTAAATTAAATTTACTAACAAAGTAACGTGGTTCTAGGTGATTAGATTATTACTTACGTGTTGATTATCATTTAATTTACAAATTTAGTTTAAAATTTTGACTTCCTAGCATAACTCTTAATATTATTCTCAAAAGTTGATGGAGGCAGTATCATGTTACCAACATGATTCTTTTCGGATTCTTTTGGTGAGGATCCTGAAGCTCAGTAAATCGTGTCTATTTATCGTGTATCGTGCGATTATTTTTTATCAAATACTATTTATATTTAATTTTAAATAAAAATGTTTAAAATAATTAAACTGCACGATATACGATAAACTAATATAATTCACAAATTTCTGATATCCGAAAAAAAAAAAATCCATCCGGATTCATCTTGTTACTGCCGATCGTAAATTTCTAATTTCTCTCCTCTGTTACATCACGCTTCATCATTCATCAATTCATTAGTAGTACAGAAAATTTTCAGGAATACAAATAGTACATAATGTATTTTAATAAAAATTGTGAAAATTTTATTTTTTAAATTATTAACATTTCAGCACATATATTTCATTATTTATATAGTATCACGTGATGTATCATTCTGTGTACCGTTCACACTGAAAAATCTATTCTGGTAGTAGATCAGCTGGCAGTGTTCTCTGACCCCCATCACATCCCCTCTTCTCCACGCGACACGCGTCCGGAATTGTTTCAACATCGTATTCGTCAGGCCACGGGTCGAGATGGGGAAGGGGAATAGGTAGGCGGAGCTGCACCTGATCGTGACCCCCCTTTGATGGGGCATTGAAAGTACAAAAGCAGCCTTTCAGTTCTGAAGTAGCTGCCCAACTCTTGTACTTGCCCTGCCAAATTATTAATTTCATTTCTGCCATGGAAACAGTGAACCATATAATACAATGTGTACGTGTTATGAAATTACGGTTATGACCTCCATGCATGCTTGGCCTGCTGGAGCAAGGAAAGGTCCAAGATTCTCAACAGAGATATGGTGGTTGTGTGTGTCACGCTGCCCTAGATCGACCGACGGGGTGTGATGGATCTGATGATGATGCGATGGTAAAAATAACCATGTATTACACAAACACCAATCCTAATCTTAACATTCCATTTGACCAAAATTAGGGTTTTCGTTTTTTTTTTGCCATGACTAATTTCCCCACACTCAATCCATATATGTCAAGATCTTTTATTACCAAGATGAGAAATGCTAACAAGATTTTTTTAAAGTAAAATTTTTTGTGGACTCTTTGTTATTTTATAATTTAACATTAATTCTTATACTAATATTATAAATATTGTGTTAAAAACATAAAATGAATATGTAAAATGTCTCATTTTTAAAAGAGTTTCCTTAAAAATGTTTGTGTGTGTGAATCATGTCACAGATTTTGGACATTTGGATGTTGGTAAGTAAGAGACTAAAGCAGACAAGTAGCTAGACAACAACAAGCAAGCAAAGAAATGTTGGACAAGTTACTTCCTATTAGCACTTTGAGGAGATTTGGCTCTCCTCAGTCCTTTCACAAAAGGATTCATTCCTCTTTATAGGTGAATATATATATATATATATATTTTCCAAAAGTTACTATAAGATGTATCATAATTTTTATCCTCTGAATCTGGAATTTAATGACAAAAAACACTGGCGTATAGGCTACCTCGGAATATATTAAAAATATTTAACTTTTACACTAGAGTCTAAGTATTGATTTGGTACTGATATGTTTTTATAAAAAATGGGTATAGAAAAAAAAGCTGATCTCAAAAGGGTATTTAGTAAACACTTAAAGAAAAATTTCAATAAGAAAACGCAAACCCTTTCTTGGTCCATTCTCTCTCACAAACTCCACTTCATTCAGCTTTGCTTTACTCGTTGGGGTTTATGGTAGAATGACTTCATAAAAATTGTACGAACTTTTGAATAACTTGTTTTACATGTCGACCACGAAATGCGGCTACTAAAATTACTAGCATGACCATGTAGAATCCAAGCTTAAGTTCGACCAAAACAAAAATCCAACCTTAAATTTCAACTCAAATCTATCACAGACATGCATAGATCTTCATAGGCTAGAGCTAACAGACATAACAAGTTAAAAGTTCATTGGGTAGTGGGACCAACCGGATGGACCCTAAGTTAAACGACACCTTCAATATGATAGTTATTATTTGGTTGGGTTTGGAATTGTCAAGTTTGAATACAAGTATACGAACCCCGGTTTGTAAGTACTTCGGGAAACACTCGTACAAAGCACAAGGGTAGTTTCGGAAGTATGAACAAAAATCGTCTTGCTTTTATGGGAACAGAACACTACAAGCTCCCCCAGAAAATAGTCTCTGTTCACATTGTGCTGTGTGGAGTTGTGGAAAATATGGATCCGGATGCCTTCTCTGCGAACTTGTTCAAGTGGGGCCTACGAGGCATGGTTGTGCCGACGAACCGGGTTCAGCTGGAAGCAGCAGTGCCACCAGCGGCGGCAGCTGCTGCTGCGGCGGCTGGTTGTACTTTGCGGCCTCCAGGTGAGCTTGGACTTGGAGGGCTTGAGGATTTGTTCCAGGCATATGGGGTCAGATACTACACGGCGGCAAAGATAGCGGAGCTTGGGTTTACAGTGAAGACCCTCTTGGACATGAAAGATGATGAGCTTGATGACATGATGAGCAGCCTCTCTCAGATATTCCGCTGGGAGTTGCTTGTTGGGGAGAGGTATGGTATCAAAGCTGCCGTCAGAGCCGAGCGTCGCCGCCTTGATGAGGAGGATTCTCGGCGGCGCAACCCTGTCTCTGGTGATACCACTACCAATGCCCTTGATGCTCTCTCCCAAGAAGGTACTATACCTATTTACATGAATATTCTTTTTTTTTTTTTTTTGTAATCATTTACATGAATATTCTTTACCTTTGTGTCTTAGATTAATTGTAGTAGGGTTTGTGAGTTAACCTAGGGTTTGATTACACTTTGATATAACTTTATTTTAAATGTAAATTAATAGTGTGACAATATAAGATCTTGGGTGATAAAAAGAACTGAAAATATGAGTACACCTTTTGGAGTTTAATTTTCTTTAACTAAAACTTATCATGGTAAATTTTTCTAACAAAAACCCAATGATTAAACTCTAATTAAACAAAATTCATAATTAAATTTGACTTGGCAAAATTTGTATTTTTGGATGTCTAAATTACCCTTAATTACACTTTGGGTCTCTCAGAAAACTTGACCATGATTGACCGCGTTTTTTTAAGGACATAGTTGACCATGTGAATTCTTAAGGTTTGCAATTAGCTACAACTCATGTTAGTGATTCTAATGTATTTTTTTTGGTAGTTCAATATAAGTTTTTCAAACGAACACAACATATTTATTAACTAGCCAAATTTAAAGGTTTGTACTATGCAGAAGTAAAGAAATTGTGAAAAAGGAGGTCAAAAGTCATAACTCATAACCATGAACACAAGTCATGAGAGGCACATGGCTTATTTTCGGTAAGAAATATAACGGTGTTAGGGTAAAATGATAAATTAATAATCTCAGAAAGTTAATATAACAAATAGCTTAAAATTTTAGTTCATTGGATAAATTGAAACTATATATATAATAACATTTTAAAAAAAAAAATCCCAAAGAAAAGTATGATTCTTGATTAAGGAGAAAAATAGGTTGTAAAACATTACTTTTGGTGTAATATAACATGCTCGATCGAGTGCATGAACAAATCGAAACCATTGTTTTATATTTCGTAACATAACATGTCATATTGTGTAAAAATAATTATGATAAACTTTGATACTAGAGCACTAAGTTGTTATATTTGGATTGGGATATATATGATACGTGGTGCATGGGATGTGCAGGGCTGTCGGAGGAGCCGGTGCAACAAGAGAAGGAGATGGTGGGGAGCGGAGGAGGGGCGACGTGGGAGGTTGCGACGGCAGGAGAGAGGCGGAAGAAGCAGCGGAGGATGAAGAAGGGGCAATTTAAAAATTGTAGCGCTGGAGGGCGTCATAATAACGAGGGTGTGGACGACGAGGACGACAACGACATGGACGACATGACTGGGTATGGGAACGGTGGAGGAGGGGGAATGCTGGGAGAGAGACAGAGGGAGCACCCGTTCATTGTGACGGAGCCTGGGGAGGTGGCGCGTGGCAAAAAGAACGGCCTCGATTACCTCTTCCATCTCTACGAGCAATGCCGCGATTTCTTGATCCAGGTCCAGAACATTGCCAAGGAGCGCGGTGAAAAATGTCCCACCAAGGTACGAAGTTTTACCCATCTCCCTTTTACGTACGCTGATTTCTACTGTAAAACTAACAGTAACTTCATCGTGTTAGTCATTGATCTGTGGGCCCATTTCCTGTAGTACAATTAGGCCTTATTTGGCAGCTCGTACTGTATTGACTATTTCTGTCGGATAGGATAAATAGCCACCGGATAGTACTGACTAAATTAGTCGGGTGTTTGGTGCAGTATCGGACTAGTGACTGTATTATTTATACTGTGTTTAGTATTATACTAGATAGGAGGAATCAAACTTAAAAAAAAAAAATTTAAAAAGTGAAATAATTTTTTTGTTCCCAGATCTCTCCGCACCCCCCAAACACCCTCCCTCTCTCTCCCTTCTTCTTCCCAGACTACAGAAGAATCCCAAATAATTGTTCCCTAGCTCTCTCCGCCACACCCCCCAAACTCCCTCCCTTTCTCTCCCATATTCCTCTTCCCCGACTAAATAATCCGGGCGTTTTGGTTGGTTTTATTAAGCGGGTGTATACCGTGTTATCCTATCCGACCGGTTAAATTAATCCGGCGCTTATTTAGTACGAGTGAACATCAAACACCCGAGTCCGTATAACTAATTCTATCCGATCCTTTATCCGATCTGTCAAACAAGGCCTTAAAGGCTAGTAGGCCGTATTAAATTTCACCACAAATCTATATCTTTTAATTGAACTCAACATAAATATTAAATTGTCGCGTTCATAGCAATTTTAGTTCTATAGTTTCTGTGTAGGCCTGGTTTCGTTCATGTATTGCAAGTAGCATCGACATTGGTCCCTACAATTCGCAAATTACTGTAATTCAATGGCACCGGTCAAATTTTGTTGAATTCTTGTAAGAAGTCTGTTAGTTTTACCCTTTTGTGTACCGTGCACATAATGATTTTGTACAAGGTATCAGCGGAAGTTGAGGTTGAGGGCTGTCCTCGAGTTGGAACAATTTGCAATCTACATGGACTAAATTAGATGAAATTAAACGCAGGTCTTTGTGAAAACTACATGGATTAAAAATGTGTTTCGGGTAAATAGCTCAATATTTAGTCCAAATTTGATTCTACTAATGATTTGAGTCTGATGATTCGATTATGATGTAATCAAATACGTGTTAAGAAAAATGTACGCAATTATAATCTGACCGGATTTAACAATGTATAATTTCGTTTTGCATTTGTTTACTCTACACATTATATATGCAGGTGACAAACCAAGTGTTTAGGTATGCCAAAAAGGCAGGGGCAAGCTACATCAACAAGCCAAAGATGCGGCACTACGTGCACTGCTACGCCCTGCATTGCTTGGATGAGGAGGCATCGAATGCGCTGAGGAGAGCTTTCAAGGAGAGAGGCGAAAATGTTGGGGCTTGGCGGCAGGCATGTTACAAGCCTCTTGTGGCCATCGCAGCAGGCCAAGGCTGGGACATTGATGCCATCTTCAATTCCCATCCCCGTCTCTCTATTTGGTATGTTCCCACGAAGCTTCGTCAGCTTTGTCACGCCGAGCGCAACAACGCCACTGCCTCTAGCTCTGCCTCCGGCGGCGGTGATCACCTGCCCTATTGAGCAAACGTTATGCGCTTCAATATAACTGATAAACCAGCTCTGCAGGGAGAGACTAAACAGAGAGTTTGAGCAAACTAAGGAGTGAATTTTATGTAGTAGGCTAGAAGCCTAGAACAAATTTTTATCAATATTTTAGGATCCTGTTATGATCTACTATTTAAAAAAGCTAGCAATTATAAAAGTCAACACTTCTTTTATGGTTCATGTTCCGGATTAGGTTCATCCCTGTAATAATCGGATGAACTGAGTTGTAGACATGCTACTAAAAATTCAACAACCACTCCAACTTTTATCCAATTAGATTTGGACACATGTCCAAATAATTGAAATTGTAAACACAAATTGGACACGTATTCAAATCTAGGTGAAAGCAAGAATAACGGTTGAATTTTTAGCAGCCAAGTATTGTTCTTTGCAATCTACCATAATGATAATGATAATCTTTTTTTATTATTATTACGAGTGAAAGGGACAGGTCGATCTCCCCAGTCCACAACGACAAAATTGAGGTTGCCCTTCCCAAGCATTATAGATAAAGGCAGAAGACTCTATGCTCAAGACTTTCGTAAAATTTCAATCTTTGTGATTAATAAACTACAAGTGATTCTTCGTTTAACCTAACACAACCTAGTAGATCTTTTCACCAAGTCTGCCAAAGTCCACTTTTTGGAAGCTTGTTCAAGGTATTGAATCGCGTAAATTATCAGATTTGCAACGTATGTAGTTTCAAGAGGAGTCGAGTCGAAATCAGAAAGAGTATCCCAAAGCATGCTCATTTGATCTTAATGTACTCTTTTTTCCTTTGATCATGAACATTTCAAGTTAGATTTTTGTTACATGGCAACGTTTTAATGTGGCATCTACATCGAGATGGTCATACCTTCTATGAGTTTATTTCTATAGCCTTACTACGTTCCGAAGACTCAAGAATTGACACATACGCATTTACTCATACTTTCTCCTGGCAAGGTTTTGGTGTAACAATCTCTTTTATGCATCATCCATAAATCAATGTGTTCTTTCATATGTGTTTGACAAGAAAACTTCATCAATTGCTTTTACATTGATACGATTGCTTTTTGATTTAACAGACAGAACTGGTGTTGTAAGCCATTTATATCAAAGCGTGATTGTGTAATCTAGAAGTAGTATTAGACATGGTTATATATATAGATTATGAACCGAAAATCTATTATCCAATTCATTTTGAAAGGGGCGGAATAAAACCCGATTCCGAGATTGAGATGGGCCAGCTCACGGCCCAAAGAATAAGGCTGAACTCGCGTCAGTCAATCGGGCCTTGATCTTTATTACAGGCCTACTTACTTCTAAAGAGACAAACGACTGCCCGTTTGGTAAACACCAAAACAGTGGCTTAAATTCAAAAGCGGCAAAAGCAATTCATTTCAGCGCGAAGATTCCCGCCAAAACATGGTTAGTAATCGGAGATCATCTGAGACGGCGACGCCGCAGCTCCGATCGAAATTCAGAAGAGTCACGTGCGATCACGAACAGATGAAGATCGCATTCCACGATCTCAAATCTCAGATCCGAATCGGTCTCCTCCAAGTATCCACCTACCTAATTTCTCTCCCCAGTTTTCAAAATTTTCGCACCTATTTCTGAATTTAATGGAATTAAATTGCTATGTGTAATGATGGAGGCCGAAGAAGTCTTCGCATCGCTGGCAATTCCGTTGATGAAGCTTGTAGGTCTGAAGACGGTGGAGATGTCGATGGAGGGCCGGTTCTCCACCATCATCATCCAGACAGACACCGATTCTCTGCATCAGGTTTCAATTCCCAAACAATCGAATCGCCATTTTCTAATGACTCTGAATGAGAGATCTAAAGCTTAAATTATTTGCAGAATTTTGGATCCGACTCGGGGGAATTCGGATCGTCGAATTGGAACCGCCGTTCAGCGAAGGAAGAAATCTACGCCGCTAAAGCCGCCGTGGCAGGGAGGCTCGTGATGGAGAAGCAAAAAGATCAGCTGGTTCAACTGGTCGGAATCCTGAAGCAAATCGAGACTCAAGTCAACGCTCGCCAGAGACACATGGTCAAAACCCTCACTCACCGCCGTCTCTACATCCAGAAGTTCTTCCGCAGAGCCGTCGATTATCTATCCTCCGTAGACCGCGTTGACCACCGGACCTTCCAGATTGCAATCCTGAAGCTCCTCCGGGCGGTGTTTGACGAAGTGGGCGCCGTGCTGGGGTCAGTAGAGACTGATGTGGATGATCTTCTGGTGGATTTGGGTAAGCAGATGTGCGATCCGATGGTGGAGTACGTGGAGGGGGTTAAGGCTGATTTGAGTGAGGGCAATTGCGTAAGGTTGGTGGGGTTGGTGAAGGAGATGGCTATGGAAGCGGGAGAGGCGAGGGTTGAGATGGAGGCAGCGAGGAGTAGGGCCGCGGTTGCAGAGGCTAAGAGAGTTGAGGCTTTGAGTAGGCTCCGGGAAGCAGAGAACAATGTGTGCAAGTTGAAGGAGTGCCTCAAGTTTTTGCCTGAGCCTCATAAGGCATCCACCAAAGTGAAGCCTTCTGCCCAACAGAAGGTAATCACCCTTCTCTTTCTTTCCATTTGACTGGTTGTTTGTAGATTCAATACTGGATGTATGTATTCTTGTAACACTGTTCTTACTAAGAGAAGTGAACCATGACCATTGCCATATCAGAAAACGTTATCTAATTTGGTTAATTGCTTAATGAGGCATTTTTGTCGTCCAATTTAATAGCATTGGAAAATTATGCCAGAATAATATTGCAGCTCCAGTTAAGAGACGTGAAGCATGACGAATGCCATTCTAGAAAGTGTTAGCTAATCCAGTTAATTGCTTAACGAATTACGCATTTTCGTCATTTAGATTGGATAACTGGGAAGAATGGTAGAATGATTGATCATATTCGTTACCGTATATTTTTGATTGCATAATTATAGAACTGGCGCACCATTTAGTCATAATAATTGATGTAATAAGTACGTATCAACAGCCACATCATATAATTAGTCGAAGGATGTTTTGGGCATGCCCTTTGTTAGCATTTCAATGCCATCCACACGTCTGTGTTAGCAATTTGAATACCCTTATCCCTAATTTTCAAGATCAAGCAAAACACTGTGACATTGCCTCTCAGTTTATCTTGATGTGAAGTTTTTGAGCACGGAGAAGGAGAAAGCAAACGATGAAGTGCTGCTGTGGGAGATACTGGAAAAGAAGAGAGAGTACCACACACCACGGAGCCCATTTGGACCCAAAGAGCTTCTTTCCTTTGAGCCAAATAATAAGCGCCAAAAATCAACCAAGGTAAAACCAGCAGCAGTAACTTCTACGTATTCACCGCGGTCAAATACAACGCGTTCGGATGCTCGGATTCCCTTGGGCTCATCTCCTTCGGTAACAATTCAGCGAGCTGCTTCTCTCAAGCTCAAGCAAATCAGCTCTCCAAAAATGCGTCGCGCTTGAAGGTATGGATTTTCCTGTTGGTTTCAGCATCAAATCAATGGCTAGGATTGCTTACCAAAAAACAAATCAATGGCTGGGATTTGCACTTGGCCATTGAGCATGCATAAAGCAAGAAAATATGTTTGTGTGCTGCTTTTGTCTGTTTAGAGCTTTTAGTAGGTCAGGCCAGCAGATTAGGAGACATGATGATAGAGAACCAGACAAACTTTGGTGCTGCTGTGGTGTGATTTAAGAGCTTTTGGATTAAGAAATTAAGATGTTGGGGATGGCAATTTTATATTCTGACATGAATATTTTTATATAATCCCCACCATTTGATGATGGCGGAGTGCCGGAGTGGGGGGTGCGTGGATCAAACCCACCGATTCCCTAGGTTTATAGGGAGTAGGACTATTAGTTTATTAATCTTGAGAATTCTAACGTGGAAATATCTTCCATGCTGTTGAAGGATTTTGGTATGTCTTTTTACGAGAGATTCTATCATATAATCGTTTGTGTATTTTTTTTTTATGGTTTTTCTCGTCACGTAATTTAGAGTTTTAGATAAATATGAATTTAAATTTGGATTAAGAAGTTAATGTTGGACTTAGAAAGTTAATTCCAACATGTATATTTTTATATAATACCCACTATTGATGATGGAGAAGAGATTGTACCATATTGCTAAAGATTGTGGTATGTCTTTTTTTTACGAGATATTTTATCATACAATTGGTGGTATTTTTTTTTTATATATCTCTGATCACGTAACATTTAAATAATTACCAACATTGATGATGGGATAGCCCATTATATCTTTATTAATTATGAGAATTGTCATGTGATTCTTTATGCTGCTGCTGGACTTTTGCATTGCCTTCACCAACTCATGTTTGCTTTGCTCCTTTTGTTTCCATTAATCTTTGTTTGCAGATTTGATGCAGAGGAAAACTTCACGATTCACTCTTCGATGTACAATGTGAGTTTTAATTCGTATAAAAAAGAAGTTCAACTTGCATGTATCAAGTAAATTTGGATTACTTTTCTCTTGTAAGACTCTATTTTTAATAATAAGAGCGTTTGAAAATACCTTAAAAAAAACTCTTTATTAGAAATATATAATATGTACTTCTTTACTTGAAGGCTTCTTGAAAGAAATGTATAGCAGTTGCTCATTCCAAATAAAACTTCTAATACATTTTTAAATTCATAAACACTTTTAACGTTTCTAAAATATCATCATAATACTTGTGTAGCACTCCTTCAATAATCCTTTTGTCTTTTAGAATTGATATTCATCACCTTGTATTATCGCACTATTTTACAAGGGGAAAAATTTAGCATTGTTCTCAACCTACGATCTTCCTTGGACTTCTAATTTGGTTATGAACCCGAATAATAAGAAACTTTCTTTTTTAAATACCACATAACATTTGCAAAATATTTACATTAAAGAATGAGATGTTTAGGTAAGCTACGCAATGGCTAATCATATACTAATTTGATGTAAAACATGTCTTTCACGGGCCTATAAAACTTACAATAGGAGAGAAATAGTACAACTAAACATCAATAATGCTATGTTGAAAAAAAAAAAAAAAAAACTTTAACGAAAAATTTCTGGTATTGTTCACTTTAACAAAAAACCAAAATTTTACATTAAAAAAAATCAATTATGGTACTATTCATTTTACCCTTTATTTTGTCTTTATCGTTAAAATTCAATATTTTAAAGCCATTTTTATTAGTTTTCCTAAAAAAAAAAAAAAGGTTTACTAATGGAAACTTGGATAAATAATAAATTAGAAATAAAAAAGAAAAACAAAAAAGGAAGAAAGTACCTAGATTTGATAAGTAAACCATTCTCTTCATGGCATTGAGAGATTTTTCAGTGTGACCGGAACACGGAGTGGTACATCACGAGTCATTATACAAATGATAAGATATCTATGTTAAAAATTAATAATTAAACAAATAAAAAGTTTCACTACTTATATAAAAACACGTGGTGTATTATACCACCCGTACTCTAATCACAATGAAAAATTTATCCATGGCATGGTTGCATGAGTTCTTCGATTTGCGGTTATTTTCGACAAGGAAAATATTTACAAATGTTGTATGGTCATGCATTGGGAAACAAATTAAACTACCTATTAATAAAATATATTAATAGGTAGATTTTCAAATAAAGAGTTTTTTTTTATTTGAAAATATGTAATATGTACTTCTTTACTTGAAAAAAACTCTTTATTAGAAATACATAATATGTACTTCTTTAGGTTGTGGCCAAAAATAATGATGGATATACATGTAGATGCAAAAGGTATATTTTCAAAATATATAAACTACCTATTAATAAAATTTTGTTTGTCAACCAAAACTCTAAAAAATTACTATTCAAACCCTCTCATCAAAACGAAACAAAAAATAAAAATAAAAGTATTTTATTGTTTTTTACAAACCTCTAAACAACACCATATTTAAAAATAACAACTTGAGAAGGTTTTTCAAATTTTACAACACAAAGTGATATAAATATTTTTTATAAAAAAAAATCCACTTAATTCCGTGTGTGGGCATACGACTTGCATTATTATATTAAATTTTTTTTTTATTTTCTATCAATTTAAAAATGGTAAAATACCTTTTTAGTATTTAAAAAATGGTAAAATATCAACCAACTGACCAGCATTAATTGCCGCGTAGATTCAGGGATTTCAATGCCACTTTTTGGATATAAAAATCTAGACCTTTTTGGTGAGGCATTAAGCTTTTCCACAAGAAATAATTTACTAGCAGATAATGAAAAATAATACGCACATTTGATTTCCAATAATGCCCATGTCTAAACTTCGTAACTACTACCGTGCCATTTCAAAAATAATTCCCTTTATTTTCCTTTTATTGCTCAAGAACTTTGTACCCATACCTAAAGATTAAATCTGATCATGTAATGGTTGTTTTGTTATGTGTTGCAAAATTCATCATGTGTTTTCTCTTACATTTTTATTTTTTAACTGAAAAGACCACAACTTGTTTCCTTGTGATATCAAAGTCGGATAGCGAATATACATTTTGGATTGAAAGATAACGTCACATACCATTGAAATCAGATATTTAGTTTTTTTGACAAGAGGTTGTAAACATTCACTAATCATTAGCGATAATTACAAATTTTTTGTTCTTTGGGATATGATGATATATGCCATAACAAACAAGTATTCAGTTACTTCGACAAGCGTTGTAAGCAACCACTAATCATTAACGATAATTACATACTAGAAAACAAGTAATTCAATTAGTTCAACTATAGCTTGCTGGAAACTAGTAATCATGGGGGCGTTATTCGCACACTTTTTTTACCTCCCAAACATTCCCTGTTAATTTCAATCATTTGATCATATTCAAATCATTCAATTTGACCATTGAAAATTGAGAAGTGTGTATAACGGTAAAAAGGAGTGTATAGATAATACCACCCTTAATCATTCGAGACAATGGATAATACCACCCTTAATTCGATTAAAGTTCGTAGGCAACCATAATCATTGCTAATAACTGCAAACTTATCGTTTTTGAAAAATATTGATATGCCATAATAGTTACGTACTCTTTAGTTCGATCAGAGTTCGTAAACAACCCTATTTTTTTACAATAATTGCAAACTTGTGATTTCTCAGGAGATAATGACATATACCATAACAGACATATATTCAAATAGTTCGCCAGCAACCCTAATCATTCGCAATAACTACAGACTTGTCATGCCTTGTTACATAAAGAAATTCGAAATCGACCAATATCATCCTTAGTTGTATCCACTACCTACTATAAACAATTCTTCTTGAACTAAAGATATATCATATTTAACCTACTTACGTTACTAGAATATCTAATACAGGTCGCTGTTATGTGAACTATTCTCAATTACACATCTTCATTGTTCGTGTGCTGATTTAGTATGCATTTTGTTTCTTAAACACGTCAATAATGATATGTATGCCACACCAACTCACTTAATAATACCTACAAAAATTCATATATGTAAATTGAACTTGTTGTCATGGTAATTAGCTAAGGACCTAAAAACCTAAAATGCTATAAAAAAAGTTAAAGGCCTAGGTTTCTCTATCGTTCGAGTGGACAAAAAAAGTCTAGTTTTTGTTATTAGAAATCATGATGGGTAGAGTTGTCATTCCAACACTAAAATATCACATACTAAGGATAAAAATAATGTTATTCACACATTTGCTTTTACTTTCCACGCAACTTTTAGTTATTAATTTTCTTTAATTCATTTAATATCGATAGTTAAAATTGAGATGATTGTGTGAAAAGTAAAAATAAATGTGTATCTAGCAACCTAGCACTACCCTATACTAATCTAATTGTAATTCTTATTTTATTTTTATAAAAGGTAATTTACCTATACATTTATTTTTATCTTTTATATATTTTTCGTAATTTTCGACGATCTAATTGAATAAATCGAAGAAGACAACACTAACCCTATATTTTGTGGAGTAAAAGGAAAATTGTATTTTATCATTGCATACTGCCAGAAACGGCAAAACCGATGTGGCCACGATCAGACAAATGAGGCACACCCAACGTTCGAAAAGCGAGTCAAAAGCGGGATAGGCATTTGGCACCAAAATTTCAAAACCCATCAACCAAAACCCTTTCCGTTAACTCCCCCTTACGTGGACCACTCAAATTTCGTCAACACAGGGACTTCAGGTACACTGCAGCACACCCGATTTCCTCCCAAATTTCAAAACCTTTCCAAAAAATTTCAATAAACCCGCCGTCGCCCAAAAATCTCACCCCTATAAAGTCTGAGTCGTTTCCGATTCCACCACTCACTCAACGCCTTTCACTCCACATTGTCCTTACTCTCTTTCTCCGCCCTGTTATCGTGCGCACCCCCCAATGGCGCAAGTTAGCCAGCTTCCCTGCGACGGAGACGGCGTCTGCATGCTCTGCAAGGTGACTCCGACCGACGCCGAGAAGCTCACCTGCAAGACCTGCGTGACCCCCTGGCACGCTGCCTGTCTCTTGGCCAAGCCCGAGTCCCTGGCCGCCACTCTCCTGTGGGAGTGCCCCGACTGCACATCAATCTCCGGCGACGCTCCGGCGCACGTCCCCGCCTTGAACGCCGGCGTGGACGGCGGTCTGGTGGCGGCGATCCGGGAGATCGAGAACGACGCGACCCTGACGGAGCAGGAGAAGGCGAGGAGGAGGCAGGAGCTGATGAGCGGGAAGGCGACGGTGGAGGAGGAGAAGAAGGGGGCGAAGGACGTCTTGGATGTGCTCGGTGGGATTTTCAACTGCGTCTTCTGTATGCAGTTACCGGATAGGCCTGTTACGGTTCGTCTTCTTCCTTTTTTGATTAATTTATTTCGAATTTTTAACTTTTTTTTTGTGATTTGTTTTTTTTTTAATGCTTTAAGATGTTGGCGTATTTGGATGGTGATAGTGCAGGTTTGGTTCTTCTGTGCCTGTATTTTTTTGGGAATACCGTTTTGCGTTGATTTTTTTGAAATTTGTTGTCGTTTTGCCCTCACATTCTCCCCCTGTTTCTTGAATGCATTTCTGTTTTTCTTCCATGGAAATTCTGTTTTCAGAGTTCATCAATCTTTAATTTTTCCGGGTATTAGTTGGTATTAATTTAATTTTTAAATTTATTTATATAATTATATTCTTGCTTGTGATTACTTTTTTCTCAGACAAAGTTGGATTTTTTGCTTCAAAGATAAGATTTTTAACTATTTATGATGGTGGGTGAGAGTCCTGATTCACTAATTGTAATCATATAATCTCTTCAACTTCTTCAACAGGTTTAGTTGGGTTCTTAAATAAACCCAGATGTAGAATTGATTAGTTGATTTAATACAGTGTTCTTCGATATTTTTCAGCTTTTGGTGCTCCCATTTAAAAATTTCTTTATGGTTTCACCCAAAAAAATTAATGTTTGGTTGGTTTGGTAACGCACCACTTGTTTTCTTTGCTTTTTGTTCACTCTGATCCTGAATTTCGGGTTTTGTGGTCCCATCACCTTCCTTTGATGACGCTTTACCCTTTTTGTCTTTGTGTGTGTGTAAATTGGTTAATTTCTTTAATTGTTTGCATCTGAGTTTTCAATCCTATTACATCAACTGCATATTCATGTCTTTACAGGGTTTATGATTATCTACATTGTTTAGTTTACTAATATTCTAATGAATTTATCATTTGTATTTAATCTTATTGATTGGATGCATTGATAGTTTTGTTGGTCCACATAGTTTACCATGTTCATGTATTAGCCTATGTTTTAGGTGATCAGTCCAACAGTTATGAGTAAACTAGGAAACTCCTTGAATAGGTGAATGGATTGGAAAATTTTGGCTTTTGAGATATTTCGTGTTTCAGGCATTGAATTTAGCGTGCTTTCACATTGTTGGTGACCTTGCTTCTGAGGTGTTGGAGGATTGTTAGTAGGTTGCTGTACTGATATAGATAGATTATGTTAATAATGACATGTTGTGTGCTCTTAAATCCAGACACCATGTGGACACAATTTCTGCCTGAAGTGCTTCCAGAAATGGGTTGGACAAGGGAAGCGTATTTGTGGAAAATGCCGTGGTGAAATCCCTCCCAAGATGGCAAGTAACCCCCGAATCAACTCTTCACTTGTATCTTGCATACGTACGGCTAAGTTGTCAAAAGCAAATGCAAACGGGGGGCCTGCTCGGGTTTATCATTATGTACAAAATCAAGACAGGCCGGACAAGGCGTTCACTACAGAACGTGCACAGAAGACTGGAAAAGCTAATGCTTCAAGTGGCAAGATATTTGTCACGATTCCAGGAGATCACTTTGGACCCATTCCTGCTGAAAATGATCCAGAGAGAAATCAAGGTGTTCTGGTTGGTGAGTGCTGGGAGGATAGGCTTGAATGTAGACAATGGGGTGCACATTTTCCCCATGTTGCTGGTATAGCTGGGCAGTCTGATCATGGTGCACAGTCAGTTGTGCTTTCAGGAGGCTACCTTGATGATGAGGATCACGGAGAGTGGTTCTTATATACTGGAAGGTTTGTCATTGGATTGACCACTTAAACTGTGCCTTCTATTCCATCTCTCTTCAAAAAAAATTTTGATTTTTTTACTTTATGTATATTTGCTGCCTTGTTTACATGGATATACATTGCAGTGGTGGAAGGGATTTGAGCGGTAATAAGCGAACAAACAAGCAACAGTCTTTTGACCAGACATTTGACAAATATAACAAGGCTCTCCGACTCAGTTGCCTGAAAGGTTATCCTGTGCGGGTGGTAAGGTAATTGCAATGTTCAAAACTCCCTCTCTAATATCCACAACTTATTGTTCTATTTATGTCTTTTGTACATTTGCAGTTAGATATACCATGTTAAGACTATCAGTTTAAATTTTGTTACAATAATTTCCCTTGAGCATAATGTGTTCAAGATTTCTAATATCTGGGTGTTCTGCATCATGATTATTGTTTTGTATATGTTGCCTTCGAATTGATAATTAGGTCTCACAAGGAGAAGCGTTCCTCGTATGCCCCTGCTGATAAAGGTGTTCGGTATGATGGATGCTACAGAATAGAAAAATGTTGGCTTAAGGTTGGAGTCCAGGTAAATATGTGCTATCCCAAATGATGGCATCGCTTCATGGTTTCTATACTTTCCTGAAAAGATTTACTGATACTGTTTTTGTTTATCTAGGGGTTCAAAGTCTGCCGGTATCTTTTTGTCAGATGTGATAATGAACCAGCGCCATGGACGAGGTTTGATTTAGTTGCTTTTATTCATGCCCTCTTCTGTAGACCTCTTTACTAGATCTTTCCAACTTGAACTGCAGTGATGAGCATGGGGATCGACCTAGACCTTTACCTGATATTCCTGAGCTGAAGGCAGCAAAAGATATAACAGTGAGGAAAGAAAGCCCATCTTGGGACTTTGATGTAAGTTATTCTATTTTTTAAAACTGGATTTGGAATATTTTGTTTTACTGCTTTTCAGTCTTTTGGGGAACATAATGCACCTGGATAGAGTAGTCACTGAATACTTAAGAGTTTGTCATTGCGCTCTGATATTGTTATAGGAGATTTTGTAAACTATACTGTACAATGTTATCAGGAAAAAGATGGTCGCTGGACATGGATGAAGCAACCACCTCCCAGCAAAAAACCTATTCTAGCATTCTGTCCTGAAGCTCAAAGGAAGACAACGAAAGCAATCAAGAAAGCACAAAAAATGACTGTACGACAGAAGCTCTTGAAAGGTCTCTCTCTCTCTCTCTCTCTGTCTCAGCCCATCTTCTACATGACTACACTCAAATCAGTATTATTTTATCTTCCTTTGGTCTGACACGTGTAATCAAAATTGGAAACTACTTGGACAGCTGTTATGGATTTGGTAAGGAGGTTGGAGATACTTCGAAAGCAAAATATTGATTGGTTGGCTGATGGTTTTTTCTACAGACTTAAAATTAATCTAAACTCTGCCAACAGGTTATATCATTTCATGCTAATGTATATTTATCTTTGTCTGCAGAATTCAGCTGCCAAATTTGTCGGGAGGTGATGACTGCACCAGTAACCACACCTTGTGTTCATCACTTTTGCAAGTCGTGCTTAGAAGGTGCTTTTGTTGGCAAGAGTTTTGTGACAGAAAGAAGCAGAGGTGGACGGTCACTCCGAGCCCAAAAGAATGTGATGAAATGCCCTGCCTGCCCGATGGATATCTCTGATTTTCTGAAGAATCCTCAGGTTTGTTGTTACTTGGGCCTTTTTCTTTTTGGTTCATGGGAATGTAAGATTATTTTTCCTTTCATTTTTCCCCTTTCTGATTGATGAGAAGATGGAAGTGACAGTATGATGTGCTTTTGATTAATCCTGAAATAATAGACTGCTTGTAGGTAGAATGTTCTTTTGATTTTCCTCTTTTATCTTCTCAGAAATGAATGAAACATTACCTTATTGAAGTATTAACTCCTTGGCAAATTTGTATCTTGTGGGATTAACCTAACAGGTGAATACAGAGATAAAGGATATGATCGAGTCACTAAAAGCTCAGAATGAAAAGGAAGAGAAGGTGGATCCAACTGAGGAGTCAAGTGATGAAGAGGATGAGGATCCAAATGAGGTGTTAAGTGAAGATGATTTTGACAATGAAGCTGCTGATCATGTGTCTGATGAAGCAGGAGTGAATGGCAACGGGCAGACTTCACGAACAAAGTTGCCCACAAGGAGTCCCAAACGTCTGAAGGTTGATGCTGGTAATTCCTCATCAAAGACTGATGATGATGGGGAGGCAAAGGAAATTTTTGGTGCCCTGACTGATGGTTTGAAGGGAGATCCTAAAGAGAGCAAATCTGATGCTCCTGTTGCAAAGCATGGGAGGAAACCTGCTGCTCAGGGCGGTGCTGGAGCAAAGACCCGAGGAAGAAAGGGGACTAAGGGGGAAGCACCGGGTGATGAAGAAGGAAAATCTTCACCATCAAGTTCTCTACAGGTGCAATCTGATGAGGATCCAAAAGAGAGCGAGAAGCCAGCTGCAAAGTATGGGAGGAAGCCTGCCAGTCAAGATGGTACTGGAGCGAAGACCAGAGGAAGAAAGAAGGCTCAGGAGAAAGAAGCATCGGGAAATGAAGAAGGAAATGGCTCACAGTCAAGTCCTCAGCAGGTGCAATCTGTTGAGGATCCAAAAGAGAACAAAAAGCCAGCTGCAAAGCGTGGGAGGAAGGCTGCTGGTGAGGGTGGTGCTGGAGCAAAGAAGGCTCAGGAGGAAGAAGCAATGGATGTTGATGATGGAAATGTTTCACCATCAAGCCCTCTGCATGTGAAAGCCGATGATTTGGAGTGATCGGTTGACTTGTGCTGCAAGTAATGTTGAACTTCTAAGTGGTATTTTGGTGATGGTTCTTCTTGGGAGAAGTGGGATAGTTACAGCAGCATACAAACTTATATTTTGGAAGTGCTTAAGTGTCTATAGACAGGCTGCTTTGCATTTGCTTTTAGTTTGATGAACTTATCGGGCAATGCTTGCCCATAGTTGGTTCCATCCTGTCCCAATGTAGGTAACTTTGGTGGTTATCAAGTTCTTTGGCTACATTTTTTTAGCCTCATTCGTTTGCTTTGGTTCTTTACAATTTTTTTAATCTCCTTTCTGGTGCATGATAGTTGGGTTATTTGAAAGGAAATTGTTATTAACATTTCAAAAATTTCATTCTACATTCTTTTTAAGTGTATTTTTTTTTCTAATTATAGAAAGTTTAGAGTGACAAATGAGATTTTTGAAATGCTAATAACAATTCTCATTTGAAATTACTATGGAAATAACATGCTTTTTTTTATTAAAAAAGGAGACCAGCTTGATGTAAAGACAATTTATTTTTTTGAGAATCAGAAAAACTTGTAAAGGTATTTCAACATTTCTTTAGTCATTATTGTGGGCCTTCAAAATTGGCCTAATTTTTTATTTATTTTTAATTCTTGACCTGACTTGAAATCAAAACCTATTTTTGTATTCTTGAATTTTGAGATCTGAAAAATTCGGTTCAGGATAAGGATCAACTTTTATAGGCCATTATTTTGGGATCAGCAGTTGAGATTGGGATTGGGATTTTGGTTCAAGTTTCGAACCGACCCAGTCCTATGTGCACTTCAAATTTTTTATATTTAAAAAGAAAAATATTTTTTTGAGGAGTGAATAATTAAAATTTTTAAGTGCTAATAATAGTTTTTTGGTGTAAAAGGTTTTAATGAAAGTCAAATTCTTTTTGTGATCTTTGTGGTGATATCCTATTTTTAAATTGACTATCGTGGGGAAAAAGCTATTAATCATAATGATGTGGTGAAGTTCATTATCAATTACAGTTCAAATTGGATTTTTCCTCGTTTGTTTGTCATATGTAGGGGCAAAAGTGTCATTTTAGTTTTCATTGGTTGCATCAACCAATCATAAAGCACCACATTGACATAAATTTTTTATTTTTAAAACTTTGAGAACTACAAATAAAAAAAAAAAATTACAAGATTTATATTATCAAACTAGCCGTCATCAGGCATATACCACTTTCTCACCTCAAGAAGGCCCAGAATCCAAAATCAAGATTTGAAAGATCACAAAGTACCTCACCACATCTAGATTAATTATTATGCAAACACTGAATTTGGTTGGTTAATCAATTATCATGTGAACACTCTTATATTGTTGTTGATGCTTAAAAAAAAAATAGATTATTAAAAATGAAAAGAAAAAAAAATGGAATGACCCTTTTACTCTTGTACGTGGATGGATTTTGGTCGAAATTTCGATTTGAACTACAATTGATAATGAACCTTACTACAAGGTAGGATTAACAGTTTTTTTCAACACAGGGGTCGACTTAAAAATAGTGTCTTATCACAGGGATCATGAAAAAAAATTTGGCCTTTAATGAAATTTTTAATGGAAGATGTTTTTAATGGTAATTTGTATTAAATTTATATATTTTAAAGGTAATTACTTGGTTACTCATTCCTTGTTTTCTATTTTTGTGTAATTTTGTTTTTTCTAAATTAATTAAGTGTGTTTTTTCTAATTAATTAAAAATGTAGTGATATTTACATACCTATTTGTATCTTGTACACACTCTTCTTAATTTCTGACTGTCAGATCAAAAAATTTAAGAAAATCAATGAAAAAAAATTAACAAGAACATGTATGAAGTGAATATGGATATGTGGATAACACTTTTTGTTTTTTCTAACATGCTTTTACTCATGTTCTTACTGAAGCCCAACCCGGTATTTAGGCCCAATCCAGTTTATTTCTTTTTGTAGTTGGCTTCTTTCCCAAGGCGTACGACCTTCTCTAATCTCTCTCTCCCCCCTTTTGTATCTCTTAAACCCTAAACCCCCTCCCCCTTTTTCTCTCAATCACACCAAAACCTGCCATCATCAAATTCAATCTGTAAGTCTCTCTCTCTCTCTCACTCTCTAATTGATTTATGTACATCGATTAATTGCTTCTCTTTTCTTCCAAATTTTTCTGTTTAGGGTTTCTCTCACTCTCTAATGTTAGGATTGTGTTTAGTATTTGTGTCCATTGTGCTGCTGCTAGGTTTCTAGGGTCCTGACGGGTTGCCCCTGTTGCGAAATTTCTTGGGTTTATTTGCTTCTTCGTCGGTGATGGTATGTATTCTCGGTGATGCTTGTCTTATGATTTATTAGTTTCTCCTTCAGCTTTGGGCTATCACGCAAAGTTTTATCCACTAAAATTCAGTCTGTTAATGGTACATGTATTTATGTTGGTGACCGTTCGTGAGAGAGTTGCTAGTTTTGTTTCGATTTTTGCTGCTGAACAAGCTCTCCATTGAATATCCAGCTTGCCATAAGCATCTAATAATGTATCTTATTAACATTCCAAAACTTCTAAATTAAAGAATATCGGAAGGAACAATAGCCCGCCAGTCCACACAAATGAAGAAGAAAGGTTTATACCAGCATTTAGAGGAAACCGAATCCCACAATGATGCCCAGAGTGAATGTTATCCCATAAACACACTTCCTACCTGCTGTAAACTCAATTATCTTTGTATTTTGTTCCATCTGCAGCACCCAGAAGACAACTGAGGCTCTATAATTAGACAGGACTTTCATGTTCTTCCTTCACCAAAACTGCAATCTTTCTCATGTAGTTAAGTTGTTCTTTGTGTGTGCAGGCTGCAAAAGTTCTTGCCAATGTGCTCGTAATGGGCTCGGCAATAGTGGGCAGAGCTGTGCTCCGCGCATACCAGCAGGCAATCTCAAGTATGCTCTCTTGCAATCCCAAATCTTAGCTAAAACCTTTTGGATATTTCCCATTAACTCTAACAAGGCACTAGCAGGTTTCTTGCATCTCTGCAAATCACAAGTGTACGTTCTATCTGTATTTTACGATAAATTTCTTTGTGTTATCACTGAATGCAGATGCCTCAAAGAATGGTGTTGCTAACGAAGCAGTAAAGAATATTAGGAGAGCTAGCAAAATAATGGCTGAACCAGAGGCAAGGCAGGTTCTAGGTATCACGGAGCGTGCATCATGGGAGGAGATCTTGCAGGTGTGCTCTATTTGTTTGTGTTTATTTATTTATTCTCTCTGTTGTTTTCCCTGCATGTAAATGTCATCGTAGAATTTTCTGAGAAGTGTTAATCATTTGAAAAAAATTTCTTTATGAAGAGGTATGACAGCTTGTTCGAGCGGAATGCCAAAAATGGAAGTTTTTATCTTCAGTCAAAGGTCCATAGAGCTAAAGAAGTCTTAGAAGGCGCTTATGCAAAGAGGGCTCAACGGACTCCTGATGCATAACTTGTAGGCTCACAGTATTTTTCGCTCCCATTACATTATTCTCGGCATTCAATGTTAGGGCTGCTGCAGTATTCTTTTGATCTCCACACGGTATGAAAAATTGACGGTTACCTGCTTGTTGCGGTCTTATTCTAAATCAAGCTACTGTATTCCTAGTGTATATGCTATTAAACCTCTGAGGTTTCGCCGCCTAAATATAACGTTTCAATGTTCTCCGGATCCTTTGTTTCGTGATTTTTATGTGCCCGATTGTTATAGCTCGAATATATCAAGTTTATCAATTCCGAACTCTCACAATTAGCGTATTGTGATATGAAAATCTCCACCGAAGCGATAACAAAATTTCCACCATGAGCAGGCTCTCTGTGATGAGCTGTTTATGTGCAACAATTAGCTTATTTCTTGTTACTATTCTGTGGGTAGTTTTTAGGATTTACCGGGAGAGAAAAGAAAATTCAGTTACTATTCTTGCCCAAATCTGGTCCGGCCCAACACCAACTTGAAGTCGGACTAAATAGGCCCAACTTAATCCTCCTATGTCGGATAGTTTTGGGGCTGGTCCATCGCATTGGCAACTCTACCTTATTTCTTGTTAAATATGAAATTTATAACCATTGTACATTGACGGATTCAGGATTGTAACATTGGGTTGTTCTAATAAAGAGTTCAAAAAATAATAATTTAATTTAGAGAAAATAACATTGAAAAATTAAATGAGAGGCTACAAATTTTCATTCATAATGTCTGTGCAAACAACATTACAACTACAAAGACTAAATTTGTCCACGTCAAAGTTTCATAATAGAAAATTGGAATTTGGTAGGGGTGTGCTATCCACATATCCATTTTACTTCTCACACACTCTTTGTTAATTTACGTCCGTTGATCTTCTTCAATTCATTCGATCCGACGATTAAAAATTAAAAGAATGTATAAAAAATAAAAAAATATGTGTAGATATCACATCCCATTTGCTAAAGTGAAGTCGAAGGCTTAAAGTCTTTTGGGCTTTAATTTTTTATTAAATGGTTTGAATTTAGAATGTGAGTTGCGTGTTGTTTCGCGTGGTTCTAGAAGATGCTGTTAAGTCTTTTGGACTTTCAATTAAGTGAAGTCTAAAGGCGGTGCTGCGTGCACGTGGCTTTCATTTTTTATTTTCTTAATGACTTGCCTAATAACGTAGTTTTGGCTAAGCCGTTGATGCTCTGCTCCTCACCATACTCTAGACCTGGGTGGTCTTCTGATGTCCTAACAGTCACTTTCCGCGTTTTTGGATGGTTCCGTGATCATTCAAGTTCCTTAATGAATCCGTTTATGTACACAATGCACCCGATATTATATTTCTTGTTACAGAAATAATTTTCACACTCGCAGCTACAAGCCTACAACAACGTATTATTCACCATGACTTAAGTTCAAATTCTTTTTCGTAGCTTCTGTAGAGAAATAATTTCGACACTTTTTTTTTCTTCCAAGCGTCTTTGAGTTCTTCTTATTTCTTGATTTTCATTTAATTATTTAATTTAAAAATTATAAGTAAATAAACAAGTCGAGTAAAATAAACGAGATGTGCATAAATCACTTTCATTGTATCTCTTAGATGAAAAAAAGAAAAGAAAAGAAAATTGGTATAAAATTGAATTCTTGTATGTAGGCCTGGGCAACCCCGATCTGTTCGGTTTCTTTTCGGCTCACTTCGGCATGGCACAAGATCGGTCCGTTCAGTGTTTAGTTGGTTCGGTTTCGGTCTTAGGTTTGGTAACAAACCGTACCGAATCAATTTTTTTAAATTTAAAAATAAAAAATTGGTATAAAATTGGAATCTAGAATGTAGCACCTGCAGGACAGCGACCAATACTCGTTTTGTAGCAAGAGGCGAATGTGAAGGCCGAAAGATTTGAAAATTTGGAGGCGACAAAAAAGTTAAGAGCCGGCCATGAAAAGGAAGCAGAGACAGAGGCAGTGGACCACAAAACTCGAACAGTTGATCCATATTTGGCAATTTGGCGTGGAGACTGGAGCGCTCAAGTCAACACCAGCCGACTTTTTCCCCTTTTCCGCCAAACTAATTTTTGCCACTCGTCCCACCACTCATACGTGGAGTGGAAGACTTACTTTCCCTCTGCTCTTTTTTTTTTTGTTTTTAGCAAGGACTTTGACAACAGCTTACGTTTATATTTTTATCGGTAATGTTAAAGAAATTAAATTTATAGAAGTAATGCTAAAGAGATTAGATTTGTAAATTAAATAGTATAGAAATTGATGATTGAATTATTACTTAAATATTGAGCAATGTGCTTAATTTTTATTTGTGACATATCATTTGTTTCCAAATTTAGTATGACAATTTAGTCTTCATAGCATTACCCAATTTGTAGACCAAATTTTGTAAATTAAATGACATGGAAGTTGATAGTTGGATTATTAGTTAAGTATTGATTAACATACTTATTTCTTATTGGTGACATATCATTTAGTTTAGAAATTAAGTCTATAAATTTAGTCTACCTATCATTACTCTATTTTTAAACCCGAAAATATCAGTACTTTGTAGTATTGATTAATGAATTAAAAATTTATTAAACCATTATAAAATTGATAAAATGTGAATCATTAGTCCTCAAAGTCAACCTTGTGAGAATTCTTGTCAAAATTAAACACGTGATATGCAGTGACGGATTCGGGATTTTAACATTGGGTGGTATCTCAATATAAATCTCCAAAAAAATTAGACGAAAATAACATTGAATAATTAAATGATCAACTATCAACTTTTCATTCATAATCTTTGTAAAAACAACATTACAAGTTACAAAGACTGAATTTGTCCACAACGAGGTTTCGTACTCTAAAATATGTCATGATAGTTTCATTGTCAATATAAGAAAGAACAGATCCATGATGATTTAGAACTTTGGAATATGATTGTACGAACTAATCAATGATGATTTTCGCTTGTAATATTGTTTCATACTTCTAATTTCTACACATATCAAATAATCAAAACAAAAAATTATATCAATTTATGAAGCTAAAAAATATATATGAACTAACCAACACATGATCAAAACAATATAAAAAATCGTAACAAATTAACAATAACTATAATCTATATTATGAATTCAATTGTTTCCATCCAATGCACAATAATTGTAAATACTATATGATTAATTTAGACTAAAATAGAGAACGTAAAGTCAGATATTAGGTGACTGGAGAGAAGTGAATCAGGTGATGGTCGTGGAGTCGAGACTTTGCTCCAAGTTTGAAGTCAAAAGTGCAAGGAATATTAATAGAGATTATGAATTTTTGATGGGTGATGTTTTGTACATGGCTTATACCATTATTGGAAGACGATAGAAAGCTCAATGATCGTCCGGGTCATAATTCTGAAAACATTTAGGTTTCGACAAAAAAAAGGAAAAAAAAAAAAAAAGGACAGAAAGAAAGAAAGCTTAGGTAGCGGCGGTTCTTACCTAAAGACTAAATGGATCCATATGTTGTTGAAGTTGAACGCTTACCTAAAAAGAAAATTGAGAAAAATATTTGCGAAACACTCGAGCTTCCACCAGTGGTAGATCCATATACTACAATGATGGTTTAAAACCGTACTTTTGACTTTGGATATGGCAGCATGGACTTTGAATAGATGAAAACTAATGGAGGCAGATTTTTTGCCCTCCTACTTTTTGTGTTATTTTGTTTTGTGTGGTTATAATTAAATCACGTCAATATTTTATATTATTTTTTTTATAAAAATAATAAGATAAAAATAAGTAGTAATATAAATTGTTAACGTAGCTTAACCGTGATCACAAAAATAAGAGGGCATGGAAGTGGGAGGACAGAGAATCTGCCTCCAAAACTAATGGGATAATATTAGAGAGATTTAATTTTTTAAATTAAATTTGAAAACAAAATGATATATTTGTTGACGATTAAATTATGACTTATCATATTAACACCTCACATATTGTTGAATAAACTCCACATACTTAATACACCCCACATTTACTTTTTCAACTAAAAATTATCTTAACACACCCCACGTACTTCTCCATAATACCCTCACATCCCACGTTCTCAACATACACCTTATATTTTCACATACACCCCACATTCATTAAATTTTATTATATTAAAATTCTGTTAGTCGATGCATCTGTTACCTTAAATAATTATAAAAATTTGATCCGAGCTTATATTCTTGCTTATATGGTTTTCATTATATTCCATGGAATGATCTTTCGTTTCCTTCTTTTTGTCCAATAGATAGTTTTGTTACTTTGACTTTCTCCTTTGCTTCTATTTAACATGTTGAACTATCTCCTCTCGGTGACTCGTGTTAACGTAGGGGACTAGGTGTTGGCATCTTGGTTGGGGTTGATGGTATTCACTTGCTTTGTCTAAATACCAATTTAGCCAAGAAGATCATTTTTTTTATAAGAGCTCATAATTTACTAATCTATCTAAATGTCAAATCCGAAAAGTTCAGTGCCCACAATTAATTTAGCCAAGAAGATCATTTTTTTACCAGAGACCATTTATACCCTGCTGTTCCCAGGTTAAAAATTCGGTTACGCAATCATGCTTGAATGATATTGCACCCTGACCCATCCTAAGAAATAAACAGCAAGCATGCTTAAAAAAAAATTTAGCAAAAGAAAAAAAAAACACTACTAAACTATCTCAAAGAAGATTTGAATATTTCAGAATATATTTTTGCCTGTTATGTTGCAAAATACTTAACAGTTAATAAAAAAAACATAATGGCAAGACATTGTGAGTGTAGGTGTGTACAAAATTATAAATAAACTTAGACATTGTGAGTGTAGGTGTGTACAAAATTATAAATAAACTTACGGGTAGTTTTAGGATTTTTAGGTAGAAAATAATTGCTTTTTTATTTTTTTATTTTTAAAATTTAGGTTTTTTTTTTTGAGAAAAATAGGGTTTAAATAGTCATTTTATACAAGCCATTTAACACTAAATATTACGTGGGGTGTATTCAATAATTTATGAGATGTTATTAAAAAATCCTTAAATTATTAATTAAGTATTGATTAACATATTTATTTCTTATTTGTAATACATCATTAGATTTAAAATTTTAATCTCTCTAACATTATCTTAACTAATATCACATAGAAACTGAACGCCTTTACAAGGATGATTAAATCGTTTATTATCATAAGTTTAAGTAACATTATTATTTTTATTTGAATACACAAAACTGACAAACTTGTCAAGACTTGTCAACAACATCAGTTTTATCGATTTAAATAGGAGGATGATTTTCTATCTTTCTATTCTCATCCCCTTCCATTCCCTCATCTCACATATTATTTTTGTCTTATTATCTCTATAAAAAAATCAATATAAGATGTTAACGTGGCTTAACTGTGATTGTTAAAATAAGAGAGGATGAAAGGATAGAGAGATTAGGAGAGTAAAAAATTATTTTTTGTTTAAATAATTGTTTCTCTGAATTGACAAACCAACCAGTAAAAAGTAACCAGCCCTGTCAGATATTGTGTATGAGTGAAAGGCTAACAAATTAGAAAATTTTTATTATGATGGGAATACAAGCGGTACATTATATGTTTTAATAGAATTGGTGAGAAATTTTATTTTTTTAAGTTATTAACTTTTTAGTACATATATCTTACAATTTATATAATGACACGTAATGTATCATCTTATGTACCAATTATAGTGAAAAATCTCTCCCCAACAAACGCGTGAGACCCTTGTAATTAATAACCACACATTGCATATATCAAATCGATGCCAGAACAGCCACAATTTTCAGACCCCAGTTGTCGTGTTTTAACTCCGAACTTTTCTCACTCACTGCCGAATTCGGTGACAATCCCCACATCGAGGGTACACACGATTCATAGACAGATCGATCTATTTTTTTTAATTTTATCAAATACATATCGATCTATCTCTAGGTTTTTAAGTAGTTAATAAACTATATATATATAAAGGAAAATTAATGAAAAGAGTTTGAAAATTTTGAGTTTTAATGATAAATACAAAATAAAAAGTAAAGTGATTAGTACTAGGATTGACTTTTTAGTGTAAAAATATAATTTTTCGTTAAAATAAATAGTACCGTAAACTTTTCGTTAAAACTTCTTAAATAAAACTCAAAAAGCTACAATGTGCATGCATAGATCTATATATTATATGGTTATAAAACCATGACCAGATCTGACGGGTACATGTTTAGCGTTCTCACTTTTTCGTTTGTTAGGGTCTGTACTTTCCTTTGGGCTCTATGTAATGTATATATGTGCACAAAATTCATGCAAAATACATACTTACATAGTTAAGTTAGCAAGCTTGCTTGATTAATTAACTTCGTTTCATACATCATGGAATTTCTCATACACCATAATTATTGCATGCATCATATATGAGTTGATTCATGCTTGCTCAAATTAACTTCATTATTCCATCTCGATAAATCTAAGGAAAAAAGTGGAAAGGCCCAGCTATTCCTTAAATGTGTTTTTTTTTTTCTCATTCTGCACGCTATGTACAAAGTGTGCACGAGTAAAAAAGGGGATCTGCAAAAATCGCTCCCCATACATAAGGTTGCACACACATGCGTGGGAAATTTATATAGCTTCTTGTCAAATTAGTCCTCATCAAATGCAAACTGAAGTGAACTGTGATAAAAATTGAAAGTTGTTATAGTCCAGAAGAAATTAAACAAAAATAAAAAAAACGAAAGAAAAACACACATACATCAAAATTATATGAGCCATTTACTCTCCTTAATCGTTCAGTCTCTCCAAGCGTTCACGCTAGTGATTAGTTCACTATTCATCATCTTGAGTGACTTCCGTCAAAGTCTTTCCTATACTTACAAGGAGGAACCGAACTCGAACTTGAAGAAGAACCAAACTGCATCGAAAAGCTTTGGAGCTCTGCAGCTTGTTGAGATGGCATGGAGGACGACGACGTAGATGTGACATTATTATATCGTGCATAATCGAATACATTGGAATATGTTGGTCGAGAAATATTAGCCTGAGGAGGAATATTATTCAAGCTGTGTAATTGAGTAGTTATTGTGAGACAACCTGACTCAGAGCTCCCTTGAACTACTCTTTCGGGGAAGTTGAGCTTAGCTTTGCTTCCTTTGAACCTGAGAGCAGCTCCATCATAAGCTAGAGCTGCAGCCTCGGCTGTGTTGAAAGTGCCGAGCCACACTCGGGCGGCCTTATTCGGATCTCGAATCTCCGCCGCCCACTTTCCCCATGGTCTCCGCCTCACTCCTCTATAGTGTTGTCTCCTCAAATTCCCTTCACACAAACGTGTATTATTAATTTCTTTACAGAACAAAAAAACAAAACAGAATTATTTCATATGGTACTTAAGTTAGTTTGAATAATGCTAGAGGGATCGCGTTAGTTGAATATAGTCAATAAACATTGCTAATTGGTTACAGGAGCAGCAGAAGGAAATAGGGATTCAGAAATTACTCCTTAATCCACATAACTAATTGGTTACAGGAGCCCTAAATCCCTTATGAAGGAGATCAACTAGTGTTGCTGGAAATATATCAAATAGTTGAAGAAAAAAATATATCAAATAATTTTTTTTTTCAGAAAGAGAGTTAAAATGAAGAGTAATTCGTTGTTGATAATAATACAGGATATAATACCTTGATCTTGAAGTAGTACTGGTTGAGATTGAGTCTCGGTAGGACTAGACTGTGAGGTGATTAACGAAGTTATTCCTTGCACTTGATCAAGTGGGTTATTAATTTGGTCACTATTATTTCCGATCACCTGAGCTAGAGCTGAAACCATGGCAGAAGTGTCTTGCTGAGATCGAGCTGAGTAAACAGGAAATATTTGATCTTCCTCTTTCTCCTCCGATTCAACCGAAGCCAGTGGCCTCTTCCCATGTTTTAGATCCACTTTGTCTAGCTATTAATACTTTGATGTTATATGTGAGTCAGGATCTGATTCAAATTTGTTTAGCTTTGCTGCGTGCATTAAGAAAAAGACAGAAAATAAGGAAAGATAAAAAGAGATGAGAGGAGAGAGGAGGAAGAAGAGAGGTGGGAGATAGGGTTTGCTACAGGAAACTCTATGCTTGTATATATTTCGTCATCCTGGTGTGAACGTTTGAAGAATCCACATTATTCCTCCAACATTATTTCTTCATTTAAATATAACATATATATATATATATTATTTAATTGAGTTCAATATTTATTCTTCATTGTTCTTTTACACTTGGATGCACACCAATACAGATATATCCAAAATTGAGCAAATTGGAAGTTGGAGGTCACACCCTAACTCAATGTGATGCTAGTCATCCAACTGTAATTACCTTAACCCTAATCCAACCAACAAATGTGAAAAGTACTGTTATCATGAGTTTAGTGCTAAGCTCTAGTTTCCCTAACATATCGAGTTTAGATTAGGATCAAACAAGAGTTAAAATTACTATGTCTTTTTCACATTGAAAAGAAATTAAAAAAATATCATGATAAGTGCAAGTTTTATACAAAAACACATCAAAAAGTTCAATTCAAAACCACCACCACCACCCCCTCCCCAAACTCATTTAGCCACTTGTCTGACTATAATTGATTCTTAGGTTTGAATAGTTAGTTGTTTTTTTCCCCAAAGTTTTGGGTTTTGAAGTATTTTCTTTGAAGTATAATGTTGTCAAGGACTTATATGTGCAAAATATTTAAAATTATTCAGCTTCATGACTTTTCTTATATGTACTAATTCTTTCATATTAATTTGTAGGATTCTCGACTTGGGAAAAATTTGTCAAAAATGAATTCTAGAATATGACGCCTCAAGTCTAAAAACTATTTGCACACTGCAATTAGAAGCTTTGTAACGTTTGACATGTGGTAAACATCCATATGTTTAAGCTTCTTGGACGGTTAGTGTTAAATGAATTTGTTCAACATACAAGCACATGTATATCCAGCACGTGTCCAACACGCGTAGCACGAAGTCATGCTAACCTTAATGCGATATACACCAACCTTTCCAGATAGTCAATGTCCAATTGACTTTCTAAATGGCTAGGTACTTTATTTAAGGTCTAAGTGAGTATGGAATACAAGTCTCCCTGCTCTAACCTCGTTTGGGACCTTACTTCCATACCTTAGATCCTATAGACTTATTCACAATAAATTATCTCTATAATATAAAGCGAAACTCATAAATGAATAAACCTTGCCTATTTATTAATTAATTAATTTGGATTGTTACATAATATCCAATTACCAAATTGGCTTTTAGGGCACAACTCCAACAATACTAAGTGGTCAAACTGAGCAAGCAGACAAATAAAAGTCGAACAATGAAAGGAAGGGCCATGGGCGGTACTGGACCACCAGACCACAAGGATCAGTTGTTAAATCCACTCACGAGAGGTCGAGTGAGGTAATATTTTTTGAAGACGAACGCTCTAAATGGTTAGCGTTTTGTTTAAAGGCTAGCTAATGAAGTGTACAAGTCCTACATTAGCCGAGTGCTGTGTAAGAGTGGTAGGAACATCAAACCACTGTTTGTAAATGGAAGACTTGCCTGACCTCAGTGAATGCGAATGCAAGAGATGTACTCCTACGTGGAGGGTTTTTTTTTTTTTTTTTTTTTTTTTCCTTTTTGAAAAAAAGAAGTTTGTCGAAAAACAAAGCTAGCCAAATTGGTCTTCGCTACACTGATGCTTGCACATACATATTTTCCCAACCACTAATTACCTGAAAATTTAAACCAATTGTCACTTCATGCTAAAAATATCCCATGCTCTACTACACATCCATATAACGATAAAGGATAAAAAAACACACTTCATAAACATATTTAAAATGACCGTTAAGGCCTGTCTAAGCAAAAAGGAACAAATTATTACGACTTAGAATTGTTCTGTTACTTGAAAAACTTAAAAAAGAAGAGAAAAGCACTGGAAACTAAGCATTGCGGGGCTGGTCTAGTCGGATCCGAGGTTTCTGGATTATTATGCTCAAGAAGATCAGCTGGATGGTCGGCTGACTGTATGTTTAGTGGCGGGGGCGAGGATTTGTTGTGAAGAGGGGCCTTACACAATTATAGAAGAAGACAAAATGAATAGTGGTTATAAACTTACTAATGCAAAACATCATAATATATACATCCAAATAATTAAGTAGTCAAAATTACAAATGCATAGATAATTTTATCTATTTATAATAATCATAGTTATTCTTGATGAATTTCATATTTTGAAACCATTGCATCGTGTCATCTACTACTGAAAAATATTATTAAACTCAATAGTGAGAATTACTAAAAATTTTGCAAACCCTAAAACTCAAGTAAGAGGTAGGATAGAATAGAAACTAATATTTTATGGAGAATAATAGAGTTTCACTAACCTTATTGTTCTTATTCAATAAATTTGGGATTTGGAATCGCTAAATATATGAAACTGAAGAAAAATAGGAGAATAGCTCCGCCAGTGCATGAGTGGAAGACGATTTTTTTAGTTAAAAGTGAATGATGGGTTTTAATTTAATGTCATTGATTTGTGATAAATGACCATTTGAAATATTATACTTAATTTTGGAATGGGATTTGAATGAAGAGATAGATTGGATTTGTGTTAAGTGTTGAGAAGGGTTACAAAGCAATGGATATAGGTGTAATACTAATCTTGTCTTTTCAAATAAATGTAGGCCTAGGACTACCGTAGTCCTCATGTGCCTCCGCCAATGTGTGTGTTGGTTGGCTCTGTGGTGTGCTCAGGAGACTGTTGGGTGGAATAATTGATAGACGGAGGCTCGTCAACCACGAGAACTCAGAGCCCAGCTCATAATCCCTGACATCAAGATCATGTTGGGGTGAGTCTCCTTCATCTTCTTGTAACATTCTACGTAGTCTTGAAACCGGAGCTCAGCAGCGAACTGTTGACCGACCTGAGGTTGTAGAAAGTCGTCAATCTCCAGACCAAGGGTGTGGGTTGAGTTGTGCAAGGCCTTCTTCAGACGCTTGATTCTCAAGGCCTAGGTAGCATCTTTGGTCGGGCTCAACTCCATGGTAGGCGCGTTCGTGCTCATAACGTGTTGTGAAACTAAAATTTAAGAGTGGGTGTGAGATAGAAGGGCTCAGATGTTTTGTGAATAGTATCACCTCTTGACTGGCCATTATTGATTCTAATCATGATGAACTTTCTTGCCTTACAAATAAACAAAGCCTATAAAGATTGATCTCCAAATCCTTATGGGATTCATACTTTAAATTTACACAATCACATTTCTAAAGAAATACTGATAGCAAAACTATTAGATAAGGTGCACCAATTAGGCATAACGGGGTGAGCAGTCAACTCCCAAATTTACTGTTCAGGATCCTCATGACCAAGGAATGTGGGCCGTTGGATGAAAATCCAACGGCTACAAACAGTGGGGTCCCTTTAAAGTTATAATAATTATAACCGTTGGATTTTCATCCAACGGCCCACATCCCTTGGTCATGAGAATCCTCATCCTTAGATTAGGAGAGGATCCTGATCCCAAATTTACCTCCCAATACATTTTTTTTTTCTTTGTTGACAACGGGACATCAAGTCTAAAATAAAAAAGAAGAATTACATTGGAATATCACCAAACCACATGACCACATTTATAATTGCAATTAGCAATCAACGACTAAAAACACCTCTTAATAAATTTTTGTGAAAATACTTTTCCAGAATAGATATTAGTGTGTACAAAATATTCTCATTAGAAATAAAAAATTAGAAAGCATTAAAATGAAAAAAAAAAAGAAGGAAATATAAACAAACAAGTTGAGCTCGAAAACGACTGGAGCCGAGAAGGGGGACAAATGGGACCGACAAAGAGCATCGTCAAAGAGAAGCCGTCTAAAGGAGCCACGCGAAGTAGCAGCTTAAGTCATAAATACAAAAATTATTTAATAGATTTCATCAAAGTCGTGAGTGTTACATTTTTTCTGTCAATTCAGCCGCTTTTCGATGGTTCTATTTTGTATTTATTTTTTGACAAGGAAGTCACCGGATGCAGAATTGCGCGCGCGCGCAGAGGAAACTTCATAAGGGATTCTTATTATTATTATTTTTTTTATAAAAATAGGAATTAGTTATAGGATCTATATCATATCAAACTTTAACGATCCGAATCATCGATTTTTTCAAATTGCACCTCATAGATCATTCTTGCAAAGTATTAGCCAGATCGGAAATGTTTAAGACATCTAATTGAGTTCAAAGAAACTAACGAATACTTTGTTATATAAGAAACAATGAAATTTTATTTTGATAATTAAATAGGCAAATGATTTCAGATTAAATTGAATTTTTGTAAGAATGATCTATGAAACGAGACTTACAAAATACATGGTTCAGATTGTTGAAGTTCGATGTAGAGTGGGCCCCGCACCTAATCCCCATTCACATCTAATTAAGTTCTAAGAATTGTCAAACACTTTGTTCTAAGAAAACATGAAATTTCATCGTAATAATTAAATAGGCAAATGGTTTCAGATTGAATTGAATTTTTGCAAGGATGATCTATGAATCGAGACTTACAAAATAGACGGTTCGGATCTTTGAAGTTCGATGTAGAGTGTGTCCATCTATGAATCGAGACTTACAAAATAGATGGTTTGGATCGTTGAAATTCGATGCCGAATGTAGTACCCTGAAAATTAAAAATATATGATATGCGGAGTAAATCGAGAATAAATAGATTATGGTTATGAAAATTTGATTAGAGGAATTTGAGAATTTTGTGGGATTTATTATAATTTACGTTGAAAAATTTATTGATAAGTGGAAAAGACGAAAATGCCCTAGTTGACTAAATGTAATTTTACGAGGACGTATTTTATCCTCATATATTTTATCGTATTTCTTGATATAAATTGGTTAGAGCTCGACCCTACGAAAGCGTGGGTGAAAACCGTTTGTAAACTGAAGTTGAAACGAATGAATTAGAGGCTTTAAAAAAGAGAAGTGTTATTGGCACTCCAAAAATCTCATTCTGCACTCTTTACAAGTGTATTTTTCTTTCCAAATATAGAAAGTTTGGAGTGTAGAATGAGATTTTTGGAGTGC